AAAATTAAAAATAAATTTTAAAAGAATTTTAAAAAAAAAGTAAAATCCACGTGTCCGCCTGGCGGACACGTGGCCTCCGACAAGCCACGCAGGCGTCTCCGGCGCCAGAGGACTAAAATAGCGAAAAATTTTCACTTATGGGACTAGTTTGCAACAGGCTCCACTTACGGGACTAAAATGATAAGGGGGTCCAGTTACGGGACAAAAAAAAATAGGTTACCCTAAAAAGGTTTAAAATTATCTTTGAATTTAACATTGTTAGTAAAAATGTCAGGTTAAACCAGACCTTATGCAGGTCAGACTGTAGGCCCCTGATAGACCGTATAGCCTATTTCCATCCCTAAGTAATATTACTAAAAATAATATTAGCACTTCTATTTTTTGTGAAATAATTCTATTTTGAAAAATATTTTCTATCAGGATATCCTATTAATTGATGACATCTTTCAACTAGGTGACCTATTTTTTCACAGTGAGTACATTTCATATTAGGACTTCTAACACTAGACTTACAGGTTGAACTTGAAACTGTGAAATTAAAACTATCCATAACAAAGGGAATAGAATTCTACCTAAGGTTGCACTTGAATTGTTTCTCATAGTCACAGAGATAAAGAAAAGATTCACATAGAAACAAGAAAAAATACACAGAAAACTTACATATAACGCCAGAGATTGAATCAACAATGCAACTTCAGAGTGGAACCTACAAAGGAAACACTAGGATAAATCAGCATTGATACCATGTACAACATTTAAAAGAGACAAACACAACAACTTCAAACTTTCAGCAAGTAACAACTACATTGGATTCAATATTATTTCAAACTACTAGCATATGGGAGTGACGAAAAGAATGAGTATACGTCACGGATCACACACGATCCAAAAGTAGCACAACAAATGAATCATCTATGAACAACACCGCATTGAAAGGACCGCGAACATAAGCACTAAGTTCACGAACAACGAATCAACAAACAACTATTATAAGAATGAGTACACCTGTTTCTGAGAGTATTGGAGAAAATTGAGTTGTTCCTTAGTTTTGTTCATTTATTCCAAATATGCTAGTCACGAGCAACACCTCAAACCACAATATTAAATCACAATATCAAACATAGTAACCTGCAAAAGGAATAAATGATAGAATAGCACAATAATAGTGTTAATGTAGTAAGAAGAATGCAAAGTGAAGAAATCTCAATTTGAAGACTAGAGAGAGAGCGAACAAAGTGAGACGGAGTGAAGGGATTCAAGCAATCGCGTGAGTGTAGTGCATAAGTGATCGATAGTGTATGAAAGAAGATGAACGCGATGGCAATTATGTGCTTTGTGTGTGGAGGAGAAAGTGTATGGAGGGGATCATGGCGGAGGCGGCAAAGCTAGGGCAGTGGAGTGAAGTGACAAACGAGAGAGTGTAAATTATATATATATATATATAAAAAAGAGATCGGTATGGGGTCCACTCCACTGAATCTTTTTTCTCATTTTTTAATTTTTTTAATAAAATAAATATGTATTAAGTGTTATTAAATATATCATAATTAATAAAATTATAATTAATACATTTTTAAAGATAATAAAATAATTCATTTAATTTTGTTGGAACAAGCAAAAAGCCAAAACCCTCTTTTACTATTTTTGGCAATGTGCAGATATTTGTTAGGTTGTCGCAACAGCTGTACACAATTTTGGCAAATAATTTACAGTCAGAAACTGTGGCCGAGTTGCCACCCTTGTGCAGATCAAACTTTTTGGATAATTAATGCTTCGGGACAAATCAACATGGCCCATGTAGAGGACGTGCAGGAGTTGACACTTGCGTGTTGCACTCGTCCTAAAAGACATTTAATGCCTCGCCCTTGTTGCCCCAAAGACAGCACCCAGTCAACTTTGTCATCTTGTGTACATGATTTGTATTTTCTATGGATGTATGTTTGTTTTTTGTGGGTGAGTAATCAGAATTTAGAGAGTGTTATTCTCTCTATCAGAAAAAAAGAATTCATCCATGGAGGATTGAAGATGAGAAGAAGGATTTCTTGGAGTTGAAGCCGAAGAAGATAATCATTCGATAAACAACTTTATTTTTAGCTTGGCCGCAAGTCTGCTGGTGTTATTACGGCGCAGTAACAACCAGTCCATGAGAGTTGGTAAAAATAAATAGATCTTGGGTAGAAGATAGGCTGGATAGCTCGGTTAGGTGTCTTATTTGGTGTAAACCAAGTGTTTGGTTTAGTTAAGTCTCCTGGATTGGAATTTCTCAGACGTAGGTTGGAAAACCGAACTGGGTAAACAAATCTCGTGTGTGTTGTTCTTCTTTGCACTCACTTACCCATTGATTTGTACACGAACACACATTGTTGTTATAACCACAAGCCAACCACGCGTTCAAAGCCGTATTGACCACTCACGGTTTCATATTTTCCGCTGCGCATAAAACTCGGAGGGGTTAGACCTCTTTTGGGACCAATTGCGATTTTCAACAAATTTTATTATTTTATTATCTTTAAAAATGTATTAATTATAATTTCATTAATAAATACATTTATTAATTATAATTTCATTAATTATATCAATTATAACTATATCAATTACATTGAAAAATTAGTAAAATTCCATTATTCATTAATTACGGATATAAATAAAAAGTAAGAAAATACTACATTAATTTTTAAAAAATTAAAAATTAAAAATGAATTATTACTTTTTTTTTATAGAATTATGAGATTTACTGGTGTTATATATATATATATTAGGATTACAAAATATAATTAAATATTTTGATTTTATTAATTATCAATATAATTATTTTAATTATAAAAATAATAGAAATTACATTCCAAAATTATTAAATTTTCACTGCCGGGTAATTAGAGGTACAAATAAACATAAAATTATATTATTACTTTAATCATAAAATTAAATAAAATATTTTATTATCTTTAAAAATATATTAATTATAATTGTACTATTATGATATATTTAATAGCACCTAATACATATTTATTTTATTAAATCAAAAAAAATGAGAAAAAAGATTTGGCGGAGTGGATCCCACACTGATCTCTTGTATATATATCATATAATTTGGAGACGATAAATTACTATGTCTTTGGAATCATTGCGCCAAAAATTGGAGATATTAGGGAGCATATTTGTTATGTGCACTTGGTGGTCTTAGATTGATATTAAGATGTTAATTTTTTATTTATAATAATTATATATTGTAAAATTCCATTTTATGTAAAATATACACGATTTTTTATTTTAATTTCCAATATTTTTTTTTGTCGATTATGGTATTTATCATATTATCATTAATAAATTTGTTTAATTTTGTGATTGCTTTCGAAGATGAACATATTCTTTTCTTCATATGTATATTATTATAAACTTCAATTTCATATTACTTTTATTTATTTCTCTCTAAATGTATTATTTGTGGACCGTATTTATATTAAAAGAATCTCGATTAAAAAAGTCACAGTATTAAGCTCTTACATTTGCATGTTATAACTTTTTTATTATTTATCAACTTTTCCACCGAATTATATGAATTATAAAAATATTTTAAAGTAATCATTCATATATATAATTCATTTATATATAAAAATTTATTTCTATTTTTTTAATTATATATGAATAAGTTTATTCATATTTTTTTTTATATAAGTTTTTTTAAAATATAATTATAGAATAATAATCGACTTAAATAGTAGATAATAATTCAAATTTAAGTTAAATATGATTATATATAAAATAATTGTTTAATTAAAAAAATTTATAAATTTATTTACATAAAAATTATTATTATTTATCATCATATTATCTAAAAGAAAAGATATTGGATGTTATATATATTAAATAAATTGTGATAAATCAACTAATAAATTCAATTGACGTACTTATTAAGTTATAGAATAATAATTAAATTAAATAGTAGTAGATGATAATATAAATTTAAATTAAATATAATTATATAAAAATAGATTACTTAATAAAAAAATATAAAATATAGAATATAAAATATAAAAATATCTTAACACAATTTTATTACCTTTATCTTATTAAAAGTGAAAATTTTTATTTAAAATATGTAGCTACTTAGATAAATATTGATGTCAACAATGACGCTATGATTATTCCAAGTACGTTTTGTAATATATTTTACAACGATGATGAATGAAATGAATTATGTAAATTGGAGTACATTCAACGTTTAATAGAATGTGTTTATATATTTAAACTATCAATTATCTATCCATGACAACAAAAAGAAAATCGTCATATAGTCCATTTGTATATATTGTTATCTATTAAATATTATTATTTTATTATACATTAATCGTTAATTCATGAAAAAAATTAAAGAGAATGTACTTATATAATATTATGTAGTAATGATTGACTGATTTCAAATATATTTTTATATTTTGATATTTTTCTTTATAATAAATTATTTACACGATATAAATTTAATAAGTTGTAAAATCCGTGCAACGCGTTATAGTATATTATTGTATAGAAGATATATATGTATATATATAGTTGGGCCAAACCCAATAACCCGGATGAAGCCCAACAAACTCCAAATTTAACAATTATTTCATTTCTTTTCTATATTTTGTAATCCACTAAATAATACTCCATCAGTCATTTAAATTTATACTCACTTTTTTTTTGGGTTGTGTCATCGAAAAATATTCTTATTTTTTTTAAGTAAAAAATTATTACACTTTTATATTTTTTTTTTACTATAAAAGGAAAAAATAACAATTATTACCCACTTTTATTAAAACTCGTGTCTAATCAAATGAACACACGTTTGCACGACGGAAGGAGTAATAATAATAATAATAATAATAATAAGTTGCAAGGAATTTATAATTTATTACATCGTAGAAAAACACGTTACAACAATCAATCAAACCAAGCAATCGATGAATCAATGCCATAAAATACAGACATGATTATTTAAAGTACGCCGACGCTGGAGCTGTTCGAATGTCTGCTTATATGCAAACATACATACATACAGAAAAATCGTCTTAATTCAGGATATTAATGTTAATATATATAATAGGATGCTTTGCCTCTGTACTAATTAATTATCAGCAATCAAGAGATAGAAGAGGCTCATGACTCCCGTATGTCTCACCGCGCTGCTGTAATTGGACACCAATGTCACCATCTCCCCGCTGCCGATCTTCAATGACCCCGGCGTAGGGTAGCACGTCGACATCCCAACCACGTATCCCCTTTCGTTTCCGGCTTCATCGCCAGTACCGTATATCGGATGTGATATGCATATTTCTCTTCCACCCTGTATATACATATATATATATATATATAATCATCAATTAACAGTGATTTTTGTTTGTTTAGTGTTTTAGTTTGAGATATTTTTTGTGTGAGGTGTCGAAAAAATATATATATATTTTGTATTGAATTATTAATTTTTGTGAAAAAATAGATTATAAATATTATATATATTCTTAATTTAATTTAATATGATATGCATGTTGGAAATTCAATTCAACCTCGCCGTAAAGGGCTATGGAAGTGCCGCCGATGTGCTGGTGTCCAACCCCGTAGATTACATCGCCGCCTTTTGGAAAGGCAAACTTAAATGATCGACTATCCATGCATTTATTGCGATCCTCCATATCTTTAGGACAAGCCAAAACATCATACTCGATCTGCATACACCAATATATGGTAAAGACTAAGGAACCAATATAGTAAATAACCGAAAATACTATATATATATATATGGCTATTGATTCATTTTACTTTTTTTAATATTTAACTTTTATAATTTTTATTTAATTATATTATCCAGATATTATAAAAATTATATCTAAAATATTATTCAAATAAAATATCTAAATAAAGATTAACTGATTAAATACAATATATATTTCACTGTTTCTCACTTCACTAAAAGAGTCTCTTACTCAATTCATATATTATTTTTTTCTTAGTCGATTCATTCTCTTCCTTTTTCACTTGCAATACATCATATATCTCCTCTAAATCGATTAATTCAAATTGTTGTATTTTTTTTTATATTTTTCAACTCAAAATTTATATATGTATATTTTCCTAAATTAATTCTTTGTTTTAAGACACAAAAAGAATCAATTCTTGATGAATCTTTTTATTATTATTTTTGTAATTCTATTATTTGTATCAAACAAATCCTATTATGTTAATATAACATATATAACATGGGAACCGACCCCATATAAAATAAATATATATATTAGGATTTGTTCTTTTTGTATTTTTATACGTAGATATATATATATATATATATCATAATTTGTTGTAAAATAGTGAATAATGAGTAGCTGTATAGGTTTGACCATATGCTGACCTGGCAATCGTGCTTGTCTTTGATCCCTTTATCCTCATCTCCCTTAGTCCACAAATCCGTAACATCAAGTATATATATCCTCACAGGCTTAATCCACTCATCGTCCCACTCCAAATACTTCACCGTATACTTCAAATAAACACTTCTCTTACCGTACGGAACCCCTTCCTTAACCCGACACCTCGCCCCGTCCACGCAGCACAACAGCCCGCCGCTATAATTCCCCGGCACCGCCGCCGCGTCGCTAATATTGCCGTACAAGTCACATGCACACTCGAGGCACCCCACCTTGTCACGTGCGCCGCGCGTGTCGATGGCATGCACGTTGAGCAGCCAACCCTCCCGGAACCCGGCCGGGACGTCGTCGGGGTTCCCGACCTCGATGCCGTACGGGTCGGGGACGTCGGTCGGCGTGCGACGGGTCTCCGAGCCCAGCCCGAAGTACTGCGACAGCCCGCCGTCGCACACGCCGCTGATGTCGACAATGTCGATGTTGGATTGGTTCTTGACCTCTTGATGGTACCTTAGGACGATCCAATGGTGGAGATACGCCTCGTATAGCGGCACCGATCGCCCGTCGCCGTCAACGAGCTCGGCGTCGAAGCTCTTGATGGCGATATGGCCATTGGGAAAGTCTATGTTTACGTAGAATTTGTTGGAGACTTGTCCCGGTTCGACGTCGATTTGCGGCGATCGGAAGACTTCGGTTCGGATCGGGTTTCGGGTTTGGGTTCGGGCTTCAGGTCCGGGTAGGGTTGATATGGAGAGTAGGGTGGTGAGGAGGAGGTAGTGAAGTAGGGGTGTGGAAGTGGAAGTAGGCATTGGTAATTAATTTATATGTACGAGGATATTAATTATGTGTTGGATGTAGAGAATTGAAGGAAAGAATAGAAAATGGTAGGAGGATTATATAGGAGAGACGACTAGGGGTGCGTGGGTGGGTGGGTAGGTGATGAAGGGAAACAAATAGGAAGCCGAGGGAGATTGAGCTGAGTTGACTATGTAAAATTCGTCAACGACAGCGTGCGCCCCATTGCTGGCCCCACGCGCACACTTACATGTCATGTTAGTATGGGTTTTTGAGGAGTGTAACATTAAATCCGATTTGAAAAATTGAACCCGTTTGACCTAAAAATTTTTTAGTTCAGGTTTAGGTATTTTGGATTTACAAAAAAAATGAGTTGATCAGAACTTGAAATGAAAAAAATTCGTGTCGTGTAACCCGAAATATAAAAATCAAGTCGGGTTTTGGATTTACCTGATAATCCAAAATATAAAAATTAGGTCGAATTTCAGGTTTCGTGTTTTGGGTTGACGTGAAATTATTTATTATTTTTTTAATTTAATGTAAAACTAAAATAAAAAAAATATTTTTTTTAGGTTAATTTAATTTTTTTAAGTTTTCGGATCTGTTTCGTGCCGAGTTCATATCGGGTTTGTTCGAGTTTCGGGTGATCTGAAACTAATTTAGGTTAACCTGAACCCAACCTAAAAGAATTTGTATCGTGTTCGGGTCTAGTGTTTCGGGTTCAGGTTGACAGTTTTTATGCTACCCCATGGCTCAACCCGACACGAATGCGACCTGAAAACACGAATTGAAACTCCTATATTTTAGATGTATATATTCAGATTCAGACATATATTCATCCGTCCAACTTTAAGGTTTATATTTATTTTTTGTATTATTATACTTACTGCTTAAAGATATTTTTATATTTATATAATTTATTATAAAATGTCATTATTTTGTATTATAAGATAATAATACAAATATTTTTTTTGTTTTAATTTATATTAGATTATGATATAATAATTAATATTAAAAAATTAGCACGTAAAAAATTAATGTAAACTGTAAACATTTACAGAAAGAGTATATATTTATATACGACGTGGTTAGGATTAAGTCAACACCTTGTTTATTTGATTAAGTTAGTACACTAATTTGAAGCAATTGGATTTTATTATAATACAAATATCATATATTATGTTATATAAAAGTATATGCTTTGTTGGTTATATATATTGTGTTATACTGTATAATTTGTTTATTAAGGTATAGGAAATTATATAATGTATTATCAAAATATATGTTATATACACTACTAGAAAAAAATGTTGATAATTACGGAAATTTGTCGCAAATTTTAATCCGCGACAATTAAAAGTCACGAAAAGTATTTTCGTGACAAATTTATGTCACAACTTTTTGCTTTGACTATTCCGTATGTAATATTTGCATAAAAAGTTACAAACAACTTTCCGTGACTATTTAAAGTAACGACTTATGTAACGAAAATGTCCAAAATATTTCTATTTCGTGTCTTTTGACTATTTCGTCACAAAAATTGTCACGAAATTTTTTCTTGACTATTTTAAGTTGCGGCAAAAATAACCAAAATATTTGCAACATTTTAAATTATTACAGATATTGTTATGATATAATTTCCGTGACTTTTTAAAATCAAATGTCACAACATAAGTAACGAAAATAACTATAAATTTTTTCTTATTATCGTTCGTAGCTATTTAAAATAATAACAAAATAATAAAATCATCTTCAAATATCTTTATTTATTTTTACTTGTATTGTAATTGAATAATATTTTTTTAACTATTCATCATTGTTTAAAATTAAGTACCGGAATATTAGCAAAAAATCTTAATATATATTTATTTAAGTTATTGCAAATATTAACATAAACCAATATTTAATTATCTATAGTTATCATATCGATAATGTTTTTAAATATATTGTTAATTTTGAAAATTTATATGATAGATTTTTTTTAAAGAAAAATATTGAGTCTAAGAAAATAAAAATAAATAATTTATTGACAATAGATGAAATTAAAAAATTCTAATACTAAAAAAATACTATATGTTAAATAAATTTAATAATTTTTAATATTAATAGACAAACTTCAGTTTTTTTGTTGAAAGTTCATGATGATATATTAAATAAATATGTATATTTTATTAAAAGATAAATTTATAATCAATAATATATATATAGTTAAAGTATAATAACAAACTGTGGGATTTTTTTTTGTCCTAATTGATCCACCTCAATTATAAACACACTCCCACTTAATTAGTAGCCCAACAATCCATGGCCCTAGCCCACTTCTCAGACCCTTAACCCGCACCGCATTGACCTGCACCATTTACCTTAACAGGGTCCGACCCGCTGCTCCGACTCGGCTCTGGGATCCGCGTCTTTTGAGAGGCCTCCTCTCTACCGTTGGATCTTGAAGCTGTATCTGAGCCGTCCACTCTGTTTTTAACCTACCTATATATTGAGTGAGAGTAAGAGAGAGAATTCATAATATACATACACTTCCTCTCTCTCTCTAGAAACGTCCCTCTTTCTAGCCTCCTCTCTCTCTCTCACTCGTGACCTATTTCCGGCGACTTTTTCCAGTGGATCTACGGCGGTGCCTTTCTCATTTTGTGTGGGGTTCCTTGGCACGATATTCCTCTTGTTAATATTGTTCGTAATCGAATGGGGCTCGTCTAACGTGTTAGGCGTGTGGTTTTGTTCCTGTCGTCTTGTATCTTCTCTGTGGGTGATATTTTCAGTTTGTGTGTGTGGGTCTTGGGCCGGTATTGTTGTGTTCGTTGCTGTTAAGGGTTTTGTGTGTCGATTTTGACGTTTCGAGTTGGTTTTGGGGCTGAGCCTACAAAACCAAAACTAGTTCAAGTTTTTCTTTGCTTTGTTTACTCGATTTCATTAATAAAATTCTTAGATCCGTTCATATATTTTATAACAAGTAGTATCAGAGTATTTTGTTGTATTTTTGCTTTTGAAATCGAGTTTGTCTTTTGTTTTTTGAGGTTTTTCGGTTGTAAATATTTAGATCAACAAAAGGATCTGGTTGAATCGAACTATTTTAAGTGTTTCGATTCTTTTCCTTGTAGATTTATCTAATATTGGTTGTAAATCGTTAGATCTATCAAGGATCTGGTTGAATCGAACTATTTTAAAGTGTTTCGATTCTTTTCCTTGTAGATCTGCTCAAAACTGGCCGAAATCTTACTCAATCTATGCTCTCTAACCTCGGTCGGGTACGATTTATGTTAATCGTGACTTAATCGCTACAAAACTGTGTAGTTTGGTTAAGTTTGAGTCTAGATTTGGTTAGTTTGTTACAAAATCGTTTTATTTTTGATAAATGAATTTTGTTCTCAAACGTTTTTTAAATAATAAGTGTAAATCGGGTTAAGTTGTCTCTATTTTTGTAAAGTTTTGTTAAAGATCCTTGCGGATCTATAATTGGAGAGTCAAAATCTAAAAGATTTTTAAATCTTAAAAAGTTTGGTAAATATTTTTTGAAGATCTTTATACTTTCAAACCAGATCTTGTTTGAAATCTTCAAAATCTTTAAGCCTTGTTTGGTTGTGTTTGTTCATTGTGTCGACATTGTGAAATTACAAACTGTTTCGGGGATTCTAACATTTTGTTAGAAGAGAAACAAATTTTTTGAATTAGTTTTCTGTTTTTCGTGAATTTTTTGGCTAACCCATATTTTCTATAAAAGAGAATAGGTTTTGTTTACTGTGAATTTTCCTACTATTTTGTAGGAATAAAAATTGTTTGTTATTGTGCTACGAGGGTAACCCCTTAAACTCATAGTTTTTTACTGTTTTTTGGATGATTGGTTTAAAATTCTGCATTTAATTTTTGTGCCCAAAAATAAAATTATAAAGGCTATTGTGAAACAAAACTAAACTCCGATCCTCACTTTGTGAGTGATTCTCGAGTACCTTGGCTGAATAGTCACGAGTGTATGTTGTAATAGATAGGTTTTTTTTTATTATTGCTTAAATTGCTTGCTGTGATTGCCTGATTATTTGCGATAATTTGTGATTGTTTGTTTCGTGTGATTATCTTGCAAAACAATGTGTTTTTGTGTGAAGATTAAATAAATAATTTTCTGAAATTTTCTGAAGAATCAGAACCTGGTCTTTTTGAAAATAAAATATGTTTTTTATTAAAAAAAAATGGCTGGTAGCTCTAGTTATATATATTGCCTTTTGATGGAAAAATAGAATTTGCAATTTGGAAACAAAAAATGAGAAGCATTTTAGTCACTCAAAGAATAATTAGAGCAATTGATCATGTAGCTCAAGTCCCTCTAGAGAGGAGAGTTGAGTTAGATGAAATGGCTCACTCTATTATAGTACTCAATTTAGCATATCATGTAATTAGGAAAGTAAGTAAACAAGAATCTGCTTTGGAATTATGGAATAAATTGGATGAACTATACACTCAAACTTCACTTCCTAGTATGTTATATTTGTTAGAAAAAAATTTCAGTTTTAAACTTGATTTGTCAAAATCAATTGATGAAAATTTGGACAGTTTTTCAAAATTAATACAAGATATAAAACTTACTGGTGATTAAAATATTGATGATTATAGTGCTATAGTTTTGTTAAATGCAATTCCTAATTCATACATGGATGTGAAATCTGCTATTAAATATATGTGTGATTATGTAACATTAGATGTAGTTATTAATGGGTTAAAATCTCAGGAGTTAGATTTACAAATTCATAAGTCCAATAAGGGTGAAGTCATGTATACTAGAGGTAGGTCTCCTTTTAGATCAAATAAAAAGGGTAATTTTGGAAATAATAATAATAATAATAGTAATAAAACCAGAATAATAGAAATAAATATAGGTCTAAAAGTAGAGGAATCGATAGATCTAGAACTCCAAATAAATGGGGTAAAAGATGTTTTAATTGTAGTGATCCTAACCATTTTATACGTAAGTGCCCTAAAACGAAGATTAATAATGTTACAAACAGTAATAATAATAGTAGCCAACAACATGTTAGTGAGTTTGTCAGTATGACATTACTTGATCGTAATTGTGGTGATGTAT